AAATAAAGACATAATGAATCAAATGGTTAAAGGAGGCTTGCTGCCTAATTTAGGAGAATTTGCGTTCAAAACATGCGAGCCTTGTATTTTTGGCAAATTAACTAAAAAGCCTTTCTCTAAAGGGAAAAGGTCCAGTGAACTACTTAGTATTGTTCATTCTGATATATGTGGCCCATTAAATGTAAAAACACAAAGCTATGAAATATTTCATAACATTTATAGATGATTATTCACGTTATGGATATGTATACCTAATTAGTACGAAATTAGATGCATTAGAAGCTTTTAAAGAATATAAAGCTGTGGTTAAAAACTAGTTAGGTAGACATATTAAAATTCTTCGAATAAATAGAAAACGTGAATCTTGCTTAGCCTTATTTACTGAATTTTGTAAAGAGCATGATATAATTCACCAAACAACCATGTCATATACACCACAACAAAATGATATAGCTGAAAGAAGAAATAGAACTCTAATGGACATAGTTATGTCTATGATGAGCCATTCAAATTTATCACCTCAATTTTGGGGTGAGGAAATTAACACTGCAATATATATTATTAATCGTGCTCCAACTAAATCTATAGACTTGACTCCATATGAATTATGGACAGGTAAAAATCCTTACCTTATTATTTTAAAAGTTTCGGTTCTTGGGCACCTGTGCTTATATCACCACAAAATAGAGATAAACTACCAAGTAAAACTATAAAATACTCTTTTATAGATTATTCAGAAAGTTCTAATGGGTATAGATTCTATAACCATGATACAAGATCATTAGTAGAGAGTCGTGATGCTCATTTCTTAGAAAATATAGATGATGAAAATATTTTAAATAAGCCTATTGATTTACATGAAATTGATAAAAATAAGGGTCTAGAAGACCATGTTTCTCATATTCCCTCTACATTTGGTGAGAATGATTCAATTGAATCAAGTATACCAGACAAGCCTAAAAGAACTAAAGCCTCACCTATGACTTTTAAAGAATTTTATGCATTTATGAATGAAGCTAATTATTCTTCAATGAATGAAAATACAATAGATGAACATCAAAGCTGCAATGAAGCTATTAGCTCACATGACTCAGCTGAATGGACTCAAGCTATGGATGATGAACTTGACTCTTTTAAAAGAAATCAAGTTTGGGAGTTGGTTGACCTCCTTAAAGATAAAAAAGTCATCGGTTGTAAATGGGTCCTAAAGATAAAACTTAATGCAAACGGATCCATTAAATATAAAGCTAGGTTGGTAGCTAAACGATTTACCCAAGTGGAGGGCATAGATTATGTAGAGACCTATTCTTCTGTAGCAAAATTTTTATCTATTAGGATCATCCTAGCATTAGTTGTATATTATGATCTAGAATTATTTCAGATTGATGTCAAAACAACTTTCTTAAATGGATAATTATATATATATATATATGTGTGTGTGTGTGTGTGTGTGTGTGTGTGTGTGTGTGTGTGTGTGTGTGAAACAACCAGAAAGATATGCAATTAAAGGGAAAGAAGACAACGTATACAAACTTAAGAAATCTTTATATGTTATAAAACAGTCTTCTAGGCAATGCTATTTTACTTTTCATAATGCAATCAATGAGATTGGTTATATAGCCAATAGGTTAGACCATTGTGTATATGTCTGGAATAGTGGAAGCACTTTTGTTACATTGTCACTATATATAGATGATATTTTGATAGTCGGTAATGATATTGATATGATTAACCAACCAAATCATGGCAAAATTCCCATTTTGAGATGAAAAATATGGAAGAAGTCTCATATATATTGGGCATTAAGATAACAAGAGATAGAAGTTAGAGAGTTTTATGTTTATCTCAAGAAAATTATTTAGAAAGTATTTTAAAAGATATTTAAGATGGAAAATTGTAAACCCATAGATACACTTGTTTGTAAAGGCTTGAAATTGTCAAAAAAAATGTGTCCATTAAATGATATTAACAAAGCTGAAATGAAAGAAAATTCCATTTGCTCAAGCTGTAGGATGTATAAATTATGTCATGTTGTGTACAAGACATGATTTGAGTCATGCATATAGTCTTGTGAGTAGATTTCAAAGTAATCTTGGGATGGCTCATTGACAAGCTGTAAAAAAGATACTCAGATATATTCAGAAAACTAAAAATCACAAGTTGTGCTTCCAAGCTGATAACTTGGAGGTTACTGGGTACTATGATGCCGACTTTACAGGAGACCCAAATGATAGAAAATCAACCTCAGGATTTGTATTCCTCTTTGGAGGTGGTTGTGCTTTTTGGTCTAGCAAGAAATAAGGTTGCGTAGCTTGGTATACTACGGAAGCCGAATATATTGCTTAACTTATGCCGTATGGATTAAACTCTTCATAAATGATTTGAAGCTAGATATAACCGACGGACCAGTTAAATTTTTTTATGATAATCAGGCAATTATCTCATCAATTAGAAATGGAACTCATAGTTCCAAGGGTATGCACATTGAAATTGATTATCATTACATTTATGATATTATTAGAAAGAATGAAATAATTATAAGTTATTTCTCATCTTCAGATATGATTGCAGATCCTTTAATAAAGGGATTGAGTGTAGAAGTATTATAAAGCATGTAGCTTTGATGGGAGTTTAAATATTTAAGTCAAAAACTCCCAAATGGGATATTTTTAATATCTTGGTCATGATAGGAAAAGCCGCATTAACTTGAAAAACCCATAACATGACTTTGGATATCTTTTGTTATGAGATCTATAACCGCACTAACGTGAAATGCCTCATGACAATGATATGTTCATAAATGTTAAATTACTAAGTGATATTATTTCAATATACCTGGCCCGCATGGCCAAGTGGGAGAATGTTGGCACGTATGGGTGGCCATGAGGCCCTCAAATATTTCTCTCCTTATATTATTAAAAAATCTATGCTTATCACTATAATAGGGAGGCTTTTTAGAGAGAAAAAGTAACATTATCTAACAGGTAAAAATAACCACCCACCTCCCAGGATTACATGACCATGTTTCTCAGAGATTTAAGGAAAAAAACCGAACGTTGGAGAACGGCCTCCTCCCTTCCCTTTTCAAGAAGGGTTTCATAGCCATGGAGAGGCAGACCAGAGAATTAATTTTGAGTTCTCATTGTTATGAGAAATGACCTGACCTCTATGATCCTTAGTCTCGCGACACTGCAGTAATCCTGGGTGCTTTGGTGTTTTATCACTTCCCATCAAAAGTCCAACAATAGAGCGGTCCGAAGTCCCCATTATAATAGCATAACATAGTTGGCTGAGGATGGGTAACTTGGACCGCATTTGGCCTCAGCCCAGCTATATAGAGAGCAATTTGAGGTCCCCATCTTCAGACAGTTTGGGCATAGGCATAAACCCCACAACACAGCCATATTATCGAAAAAAATTTAAAAAACAGAATTTAAAAGTAGTCCAAAGATGACATTCTTAAACCATGGCAATATGGGAAAAATAAAAAACTATCGGGGCTCCATGCAAGTTTTTGGCTAAACTAGACCCATTTTGTAATTTATTTACTTTTTTTTTTGTCCGTAC